ACAATAACGATTCGAACACGAACGAACGCATCACTGTTCGTGTTTGGTTCATTTAACAAATCGAACGAAAAAACTTGTTTTTGTTCGTACAAGATCTCAGAAGAGGACCACATGATTGATTTCAATCAACTTGTATTGAAATTTCGGCTAGTGGATCCCCAAAAGAATACCATAGCCCGATATTTGAGGGGTTTGAGGTCGTTTATTTGGAAGATGGTGCAGCTGTAATCGTATAGTCACTACTCGATGTCTAGACCCTAGCTTTGAAGGTGGAGTAACAACATCATCATACAGAGTTCAACCCTAGGACAAACAACAAGAGTACACCCAGTGGAGCATACAAACCGACCCCACGTGTGGAGAAACTGTTTCAGAGTGGAGAAAAGATGGAGCTAACCAACATTTCCAAATCCGTCACAACCAGAAAGTGTTTCAATTTCTACGGATTTGGGCTTATTAAATTAGATTGCTCAAACACGAGAATGATCTCTTTCACTAAGCAGGGAGCCGTTGAAGAAATGGAGAGTGATATAGTAGAGGATGATGCCTTTAGAAAGGAGTCCCAACTTTCAACTGAGAAGGAAGAGATGTCAGTGATTCAAGTTGAGCTAATGAGGGAAGTCCAAAATTGCTAAAGATGAGAAGCTTTTGAGCTAATTTGAAAACTATATGGAGTAATTTTAGTATTAAATTCAATTCATTAGTGCACTTACCAACAAATAGACCAGTGGGATGAACCACAACTTTGCAAATCACCTTAGGATCTTTGTGGGAAAGAACATCATTGAATGGGATTCATGTCTTTTAATAGAAGTTGTTTCTTCTGATTGGTTATACTTCAATGTGGTCAAACCTTCCATAGGTTTCATTCCAGAGTTATTTTCTCCTGAAATACTTTTTAATCAGATACACTTAGCCGAGGAGTGGAAGAGGCAAATTCTAGTGTCAATTGCTCTAGAGTTATTTTGTGAAAGTCTACGTGGATATGTATCTCTATCTCAGGTTGTGTAAAAGGAGGATGTATATTTAGGGTCTTTTTGGGGTAGTTGCAGCTTATTAAATAATCTACTGATAAGTTAGATGCGGCGACTATTACAAATTTTTATTTTTTTGGAAAAGTCAGACCGTTGCCAGAAAGCTGCCACCGCACCTAGATAGATGCGGTGTGAAAACATTGTTTTCAAAATACATAAGCTGCCAAAACGCAGTTTACCCAAACAGGTCAGATGCGTTTTCAAAACGCCACCGCACCAAATAAGCTGCCCCAAACGGACCCTTGATCTATTAGGATATGCTTTGAATTCTCAACACCTATAGGATTGGCTTTACCAGGAAGTAACAGTAGCTCAACCCCCTTTAATGTGGATCAGCTGACACCATACTACGAGGAGCCAGAAGCTTCGATAGATGAGGTTGATGCTCCCCCAACCCTGGGAAATCGTTGCAAGGCATCCACTGCTGGGCACAGAATTGATCCATACATGAATCATATGCTGGAGTCGCAGACCTTGGACCAAATGCGGGAACTTTAATGCCTCGATCGATTCAAAAGGGAAGCCTCGAGGTCCAGCCGACCGTTCCTCTGCATGGGATTGCTACCTAACTAGGGTGGATCCCAATCCGAAGGTACCCTAGGTCTATATAGGTTGCTTTTGTGGTGTTTTAAGTTAGACTGTCATGAGTTTTGTTTAGGACAGCCCCGGCGTCTCCATTTCTCCCTTCTAGGATCTTATCCAAGGGTTGAGTGGTGCTCCAGTTGTATCTCGCTCTAGGTGGTGATTATCCTTTCTCTATCCCTCTACATCCTTCCCACATTGCTCCCCGTCAGCCGACATTGCTGCAACCACCCTGAATAATCATTTCCGCTTGTTTTTCTGTGGTTCCAGCCTCCTCGATGGCCTTCCCCTCACTCTTCTTCACTGTCATTGCTGTCATAGCCCTCCATCATCGTAGCAGCTGCTGTTCCAGCCCTTCCGCTTTGCTGCCATCGCTTTTCCAGCCCTCCTTCGCTGTCGCTGCTGTTCTAACCCTTCCTCTTCTGCCATCACTGTTTCAACCCCTCCTTTCATGTTTCCTGCAGCCGTCAACCTTCCCAGCCGCATCGTATCATCTCCTGTTGTTGTTTCCTTGCAGTACTTGCAGTTTTTACCTGCTGCCGCACTCCCTCTTGCCGTTTCCTGCAGCCTACAGCTTTTTCCAGCTGCCCATATTCGCTGTCGCCCCTCACCCACTGCACAAAACCCCCTCCATTCTGCAACCGCCATTCTCCAACACCCCTTCATACCCATTCCAACCTCCTACCACCAACACCCCCCTTTTGGGACACAACCCTTGTTGGCTTTGTGTGATGTGCTTATCATTATTCCCTTTTTCAATTTTTTGGTTCTTGTTCCCTATTTGGTTTCATTAATAATATTTGTTGCTTTATTATCGTTTGATTATGATTGAAAATATTACACTCAAAATAGCACAATCGAGAATAAAAGATTCATGTAGCTGACCCCACTTAATTGGATGAAGGCTTGTTGTTGTCGTACCATCGTTTGGTTAACTCCGGTATCAGCGCTTTTAAAAATTATTGCAAGGAAATCTATTCAAAATCATCAATGGATGAAGGCTTCTATTGAAGTCGTGAAAAGTTCAATTTTTTAGAAGTTACATGATTTAGTTTTATTTGAATAAATATATGTTATATAACTTTATTTAGCATGAAATTGATAAGTATCGATCAATGTTGTTGAAGTATCAAGTTATACATTGGTCTGATAGGTTCAAGTATATTGAATCTTTCATGTTTAATATAAAATTACAGATAAACAAATAGTTTTAGAGTCAAGGTGGGTTAGTTAGTGGTGGAGATGCCTCATGAGCACCATTGGATTATATAAATATCATGAAGGCTTAATTTAAGTTTTATAGAATTACAATTAGACCTGCTTTTTTCATAGATCTAAGAAGGCTAGTAGAGTGTGGAAGAAAAAGAGATGCTAAGAAGGTTGTGGTAAAATTGGAAGGGGATTAATAAAGTAAATTATTATTTTAGAGAGGTAGTCAAAGAAGCATCTATAGAAGATAAGGTTGTGGAAAATGTACATAGTTGGATTGAGCATAAACAAAGGAGTTTGATGATTCATCAATGTGATAGCTATGTAAAATTTACCTGAAAGGATTAAGAAGAAATTATATAGATCAATGTTCACATGGCTATGATTTGGGAAAATAAGATTTGGGAAAAATATATTTTTTCAAAATATAGTTAGTGACTGAGGCCAGTGTAATATATGGAGAATGGAATGTATAAAGCTAGTGTGAAATAGTTGGAACAAGGCTTATGATGATGAATGCATTCAAACTTAGCTTGATAGGCTCTTAGCTTTTTTGGATTTCAGATTAGACAGTACAAATGTTGAACTTAAAGCTGATATGATCCTCTTACACTCATTTTTTATTTGTTGAGAAAATTCTAGATGAATTTATTGGTGATTATATTATGTTAAATATATATATATATATATATATATATATGAATATATAGCCTATTGAGCACCATAGGATTAGAATATATCGTGAAGACTTAGAATTATGTTTGTAGAGTTACTTAAACTTATTATATTCTCTGAGTTTAAGTTAACATGTAGATTGTAGAAGTAAAAATGCCAAGAAATATGTGGTAAAATTATGAAGGCTTGATTATGTAAAATGATTATATTAGATGCATCTATTGAAAATAATGTTATGAAAAATTGACATATTGGGAGTAAACCAAGGTTGTAGATGATGCACCGTAACAATAGTTATATTAAAAATAATTTGAAAGAATTAGAATGAAAAGGTGTAAATCAAAGTTAAATTGTTACAAATTGGGCAAAGTGGTTCACTCAAAATATAGTTAGCATCCAAAAGCATGATTGATGAATGGAGAATGGAATACAGAAAGCGATTGCCAAGTAGTTGGGATAAGGCTCATGATGATGAATGTGTTCAGTTTGGTAGATTCTTACAAGTCTAGAGAAAACAATATAACTTGAAAATTTTAAAAAAATATACTCATCATATGTTCATTTCTTGTTTGTTATGCCCTCTCTGGCTTGTCATCACACTAAATTGATTTTTAATTTTGGAGTAAGATTAAAAATGGCACAAGAATTTCAAGAAGTTTTGTATAATCTGTATAAATGAGGTTCCTTATCTAAGGTACCCATGATCCATCAAAATTGATTCATGACCATTTTAATTCCTTGGATGGCACTTACGGTACAGGTGGATGGCTGTAGCATTGGTTACTTGATGGATATTAGATTTAAAGTCCAATCATAAAATATGCTTATATTTTCTATATTATGAAATCATGCTAGTTATTGATATTGCTAAAAATAGGAATGGGCATGTAATACTCCTAAATCCACTTACCTGCCCTGACTGTTGTACTTGTTCACATGAAATTTTTAGGTGGAGTTTATTTTTTGGTGGAGTTTGGCACATGCATCATCAATGAATGAACAAATTTATGTGTACATACTTGTGAACAATTTATTAAAATATTATTCAATTTTCTCATTGAGAAGCACTTTTTTTTACTGTGATTTTAACTCAATGCCATTGATTATTATTTGGTTTTTTTGGGGCTTTGATTTCGATAGCAATTATCTAATTGCTAATACGTGTTTCCCATGTTATTTGGATTTACTATATCTTTCTAAAATGGTTAATCTTTTTTGTTCTTGAGCCAATGCTTATTCACGTTGTAAAACTGTTGATTACATAAAGGGTGTTTATAAATTGTTTTTGGATTTTTTTGGCATGAGAGTGGCATGTCTTACCAACGTCATGATATAATCTCAATTAGAAATGAGACTTCTGTGCATTTATTTTGAAAATGTCATTCTTTTGATCGCTATCTGATATTGTCATGTGCTTGTTTTAGAACCGAAATAGTGCATCAATGGATGAACTTTTAACAACTTGTGCTCACAGCTTTTGGACTTATTACTTATTTTTAGGTTCTAATATCTGCTAGAGAAGAATTAGACGCAGAAATATCACCTGCCATGGATGCAGTCCTTAGAATTTTTAAACGTGTGAATGGATTAGAAGGGACGCAGGATGGCACAGATTCATCAGCACCTGCATCTACTACATGCTCGGTTCGATTATTGGTGGCATCTTCACAAGCTATTAATTTAATCGGAAAGCAAGGTGTACTGATCAAGTCAATTCAGGAGAGTACTGGTGCAGTCATACGTGTTCTATCTGGAGGTACTTTAAACATTTTGTTCTCATTGACATTAATGGTGTAATAGCTTTGAAAATGTGATGCTGTTCCTATTTTTAAGTTTTTAATTTTTTAAAAATTCTCTATTTAACTTTTATTGTGCGAAATAGTTGCCATGCATGCTCTTTCTTTTTCCTTTTTTTTATTTTTTTTTGAGAATTTGAGAGATTTGCTGAAGCAGAAATTTGTAGTTACGTATTGAAAGCATCTAGATCATAGGAACTCTCTTTTAGGATTTGCGTGCTCATCACAGTTAGTATTTGTAAGAATAATAGTTTGAAATGCATTATTAATGCATGAATTGATTATTCATCTTTCTTTTTCTCAAGGGAAAATAAGAATTGAAAGTTCTCCTGAGCTGTTTTATCTAGGGAGAACATGCAAGCATTTATGTTTTTTAATTTGGGGATTTGCATACTTTGCACTCAAACCAATGGTATTTACATATAAAGCACTCAAAATATACCCATGTTCTCAAATATAACATTTGGTTAGGGGAGTGAATCAGTTTGTTTCATTTTGTCGAAATAGGCATCTAGGGATTGTTCTCATCTTCGCACTCTATTACCATCTGCACATTCCCGTCTCTCTTTCTCATAAACTTGGTTGCTCCAAGCAATCCTCTACTACTTTTTTCCCTTTTATACCCTAAGTTTGCTTGGCTCATCCGCCCAACTTGCTCACGTAAGGATTTTCCAACTCAATGGCTAAACTTGGTTGCTCCAAGCAGCCCTCTACTCTTTGTCGCGCCCTTTCCTGGTTAACCTACTCACGTCAGGATCTTTCTGCTCATTGGACAAGCTTGCTTGATTCTGGTTAAGCCGCCACTCAATTCTCCAAAATGGTGAAATGCATAACCAACAGTACTAGTGAGAAATGTTCCAAAAGGAGAAACATATTAATATGTGCAAGCCATGAGGTAACGAAGAAAATTTTAGAAGTCCAGAAACTATCTATATTAATCAGCAATATGTAATGAAGAAATCATTGTTAAAACAATCATCACCAATATTAAGGACTGCACCCAATAACAGAATATACAGTTGATTTTCAGCTAATGAACTAAGAATTAATGCCATAGATACGTGTTTGAAGAAACAAGGACTGGTACCCATCAAGAGGCGTCAAAATGCCAGCTTACAGCTAAAATCACTTGGATAAAAATCCTATGTTGAAACAATAGCCAACCACTTCGCAGAGGATATTCTAGCAAAACTCTATTGCAAGTTAATGTGATCTACATTCGTAAATTCTTACGTGAAGGACAAAAAAAGGATCCATAAGTAACACAGATAATGAATCCCAGACAAGAACAGTAGAATGAGGAAGGGTTGGAAATCCACACTGGTAACTATTTACCAACATAAGGTTTATCAGAAAGCAGGGTTTAGGGTTTAGGATTCACGAAAAAAAAAATATTATTTTCAAAATGAACATTTAGACAAATGAGGTAGAGAGGAGAGATACTTCAGAAACCGGATTTCGAGATAAATTCAGGCTCCAAATAAAAGAGAATTCTTTGCCCAAAATAGTTCTTGAAGTTCATACAATGAAAATTATCGAAGGCCCAAATGAAGTAGTAAAATAAAAAAAAAATCTTTATGAAAGATTTCTAGAAATTAACCAATAGATTTGGAACAATAATGAAACCAGTAATTTATGGCAAAAAGTTGGGCAAAATAATTTGATGAGGTAAAGGCCCAACAAAAGATATGCGAACATGACCAGAGAAGTTATGGAAAAGGCTGCCAAGCCACAATTATAAGCTGCATCCAATACATTTGGATTAGCTGTAGATTTGCAAACTGGGAAATAAGCAGCAGTTTAATACATGGCTACAGTTATTTTATCAAGGCAAATTGATAAACCAAAATTTGATCTTAACACAGTAAACATAAAACTAATGATTGCTTGGTTTCATCTAACAATATGAAATTTCCATTCATATTCTGATCAATTCTATGGTCATCAATGTGATTTTCTTCCACAATTTTATCTTCTTTGACAAGTGTAAATAATGCATTGCAAGTAACATCTGTTGTGCACTGGGCTTTCTTGGATATAACCCCTTATTGAAGATGATTAATTGGAGCTCATTTTTAATGATCCAAGATCTATAGATTACATCACTGTAACTAAAGAATAATCGCCAAAATAAATAAAAAGACTAAACAAACAAAATACTTATTAAAGAATTGTAGAGTGCATCAAATGCATATTCAACTTATTTCCTTTTTCTCTCTTCAGATACATAAAAAAAACTACAGCAAATGGAAGAGAATAAGATAGATAGTATTTATTTATTTCTTTATCATTGATTTTTAGTATGGTTACTGAATCTTTTGTATAATTTTGCTCTTCAGAAGCAAATATATCTTTTATTCATACTCATTTATATTGCAATCTCCGTTCTTTTAGGCCAGAGAAAAGTGTATCAGAAGAAATGCCTGCAGCTTAGAAAAATTGATGCCAAAGGATCTTGTTCACATACATTACGTAGAACTTGGGCTGTTGTGAAAGCTGATATGCCAGAATATTGATTCCCTAATAACCATAGAAACAATACCCATCAGAATCCAGAGCGTCAAGTGGAGAACAAGTTAGAGGAATTTCTTGAAAATTAGAGATTTTTTTTTAATATTTCCCAGGATCATCGCTTGAAAAATTAAACATTATCATTCCATTGACAAAGCAGTGGGATGGAGAATTACATAAAAGAAAGATTTATGGTCTTGCCAAAGAATTCAATTCAAGGATTGTCACATTGCAGAAAACCAAGAATAGAATTCTAGAGTTCATTTATTGATGATAGCTTGGCTTCATCTAACCATAGGAAATATTCAGTTATCTTCGGATCAATTCTATGGGCATCAATGAAATTTTCTTCCAGAATTTTATCTTCTATGACAAGTGTAATAATACATTGCAAGTTACATGTGTAGTGCACTTGGCTTTCTTGGATATAACCCCTTATTGAAGATAATTAATTGGAGCTCATTTTTAATGATCCAATATCTACAGATTACCTTGCTGCAACTAATAATAATCACCAAAATAAATAAAAAGTCTAAACAAACATAATACTTATTAAAGAATTGTAGTACGCATCAAATGCATATTTCCCCTTCATTTTTCCCTCTTCAGATACATCAAATAACTGCAGCAAGTGGAAGATAATAAGATAAATGGTATTCATTTATTTCTTTATCATTGAGGTTTATTTTGGTTACTGGACCTTGTGTATAATTTTGCTCTTCAGAAGCAATATATATTTCATTCATATTCATTTAGGCAACCTTATTCTTTATTGCAATCTCCATTCTTTTTTGGCTAGAGAATAGAGTAGACAAATGTGTAAGGAGAAAGGCGTGCAGCATAGAAAAATTCATACCAAAGGCTCTTGTTCACATCACATAGAACTTGGGCTGTTGTGAAAGACCGACATGCCAGAATATTGATTCCCTACGAATGATAGAAACAATACCCATCAGAATCCAGAGCGGCAAGTGGAGAACAAGCTGGAGGAATTGCTTTAAAATTAGCTATCTATTTTTTTCCTTAAGTTATTTCAGGATCACCACTTGAAAATTAAGCATTATAATTCCACTGACAAAGCAGGGAGAGGAACAATAACATAAAAGGAAGGTTGATGGTCTTGCCAAAGAATTCGATTCAAGGATTGCAACATTGCAAAAGAAAAGAATAGAATTCTGGAGCTCATGTATTGATAGCTTGGCTTCATCTAACCTATGAATAGGGCTGTCAAAACGACACGTTGTTCACGAACAACTCGTGTTTGACTTTTTCGCTAAGTTAACGAGCTGAACACGAACAAAGATTTGTTCGTTCATGTTCGGCTCATTTTGACTCGAAATACTACTTTTCAATTATATATATATATATATATATATATATATATATGATGAGCAATATTTTTAAAAAATTATTTAAAAAAAATATTTGACTACAAGACTACAAAAATTTATAACCAATTAAAAGTATTAATTAAAAAAATAGAATAAAAATTATTACATTAGATTCAAATGATGTTTTAATATAAACAATAATTTTTAAATCTTATCCCAACCCTTAACATCTTATGGCTACGTGATTAGGGTTGTCAAAATGACTTTTTGTTTGTGAACAACTCGTGTTCGACTCGCTAAGCAAACGAGCCGAACACGAACACACTTTTTGAGCTCGAAATATAAACGAGCCGAACACTGAGCCTGGGCTCGCTCGTGTTCGGCTCATTTACACGCCTACATATGAAATATTCAGTCCTCTTCTGATCAATTCGACGGGCATCAATGAAATTTTCTTCCGCAACTTTATCTTCTATGACAAATGTAATTAATACATTGCAAGTTACATCTATAGTGCACTTAACTTTTTTGGATATAACCCCTTATTGAAGATGATTGGCGGGAGCTCATTTTTAATGATCCAATATCTACATATTACATAACTACAACTAAAAATACTCACCATAATAAATAAAAAGGCTAAGCATTTACGAATAAAGAATTGTGAAGTGCATCAAATGCATATTCAACCCATTTCCTTTTTTCTCCCTTCAGATACATCAAATAACTGCAACAAGTGGAAGAGAAAGGTAAATAGTGTTTATTTATTTCTTTATCATTGATGTTTAATTTGATTACTGAACCTTGTGTATAATTTTCTGCTTCAGAAGCAACTATATCGTTCATTCATACTCATTTAGGCAACCTTATTCTTTATTTCAATCTCCGTTGTTTTTAGGCTAGAGAATAGAGTAGACAAATGTATTAAAAGAAATGCCTGTAGCTTATAAAAATTGATGCCATGAGCTCTTGTTCATATACATTACATTGAACTTGGGCTGTTGTGAAAGACCAATATGCCAGAATAATGATTCTCTAGGAACCATAGAAACAATAACCATCAGAATCCAGAATGTTAAGTGGAGAACAAGTTGAGGAATTGCGAGAACAAGTTGAAAATTAGCATCTTTCTTTAAAAATTGTTTCCCAGGATCACCGCTTGAAAAATTAAGCATTATCATTCCATTGCCAAAGCAGGGAGAATATGAATAGCATAAAAGGAAGGTTGATGTTCTTGCCAAAGAATTTGATTCAAGGATCGCCACATTGCAGAAAACCAATAATAGAATTCTGGAGCTCAAGCTATCTAACGAAATTGGCTGGGTGAAGAAATGTGCAATAGATTTAGAGGGACTTCTGCTTTTGTTGGATGATGGACGGAGAAGAGAGATGTGATTTTAGGTGCAACAGGGGAGGGTGGAGAATGGAGGCTCTGTGCAAGCTTGAGTCGGAGAGGGACAAAGCTTAGAGATGTTTTGCCTGTAGAGATACCACATTGAATCGGAAGGGAAACACTGAGCAGAAGTTTATGGCGGAGAGGATCACTTAACGTAATAATATTTGAGGACCTGAGTATATTCTGGGCGCATTATATATAAATAGATAAGTTTTGTTGTGGGATATGTAAATCCCGATGTTTTGAGTGCTATGTATGTTAACCCTTTTTTAAATATTAGCTATGGTTTTTTTGTTTGTGTCGTGACAATTTCAAACCCATCTTCAACATAGTTGAATCTAACCAGAGGACCATGTGAGCAATTTTATTACAGGAATTTACCTGAATTTGAAATTTTTATTGATTTATAGTAAATCTTATTTCTAATTTTGAAGAGAATCACAGCTATGCCTTTTTTGTTTGTAGATGGTATAATTGCCGTTTGTTTTCCTTTTTATTTTTGTTAAAAATATATTGTTTCTGAATGATTTTTGATGAGATTTTTTATTGTGAACTTGAACTTGAATGAAGTCCAGCATTTTATCCATATCATATTCACTCGTTTGTCTGAGTAATTGTGGAAATGCTCAATCTGGATTCTACTCCATGTGATTTTTGTGATGATGATTATGTGAGGCTAATTGTCACTGAACAAATAAATAGAATTTTAACTAGCATTGAAAATGATATATATTTTTTTTCAAGCTAATTTTTTTACCAGAATATTTTGTGGCACTCTGATTCATGTTTTATAAGAATGATTGGCTATTTGCTATGCAGACAGGCATGCAAAGTGAACATTTCTAGGTGCTGCATGAATTTCTATGTATAGATGTCATATGAACAAGTTTTTTGCGCTAATACCATATAGGCTTGCATGGCTATTCTTGTAATATATTTTTTCTCTCACTAGATGAACTTCCATATTACGCAACTGGGGATGAGAGAGTTGTAGATATCCATGGCGAGACTCCGAAGGTACTAAAAACACTTGAGGCCGTTTTGGGGCATCTCCGGAAGTTTTTGGTTGATCACAGCGTACTGCCTCTATTCGAGAAAATTGTAAGCATGTATTGCATTTGTTTAGTTTGTATTTGGATGGTATTTTGACCAAATAAACTGGTTTTTATTTATTTATTTATTTATTTATTTATTTGTTTGATGTTTCATTGTAAACTTGCTCTTGTCACCTTCAGCCAAAAAATTCAGCTACTCAAGACCGTGAACCTGAAGAATGGAGTAACAAGACACAGTCCTTGATGCATTCTTCCCAAGCCGTAATTGGCAATGACTATGAGCTCCCTGGAAAGCGAAGTTCTCTATACCATGATCATGAACCTCAAGTGGATTCTCAGTTTCAACGCAGTAGTCTTTCATTATATGGGCAAGATCCTTCGCTCTCTGCGTTGAGGTCATCCGGGTCGGGCCTGGGTCGTAGTGGCGGTCCTTTAGTTACTCAGGTTTGTGTTATGTTTTATGCCTTCTTTCCCTTTGGGTCGACCTGCTATTTTAAGTTATATCGGCATGGTGATTGAGATGCAATCTGAGCAAATGTTGCATGGTTTTGTTCATTAAGGGTTCATTTGGAATCAATTTTATTTTCTGATTCTGTTTTTGCTTTTATTTTTTATTTTGTTTTAAAAACATGTTTGTTTAGTATATTTTTTGCATGTTTTATTTTTTACTTTTAAAAATGGTCAAAGCAACTTCCGTGGGTTTTTAAAAACAGCCATTACAACCAAACACGTTTTATTTTAAATTAAAACATTAACAAAACAAAATAAATAACAAAACACAAAAAAACAAGTGTCCCCAAGTGCCCCCAAGTAAATTTTAGATGTCTTGTTGTCGTTTATATTTCTGTTTTCTTGTGCATGTTTTTAAATAAATGTTTAATGGTATGTGTTAATTGCATCAAATTCCCTCAGAACATTGGATGGTTGATGGTTACAATACATCTTAAAACATGTGAAAATGCACATGCGTCAAATGCACATACTTATTGTGTATGTACGTGTATGTATATGTATTTGTGTGATTTATTTATATTATTATGAAAGTAGGTGTATGTTAGATAATTTTAGTTTCAAATGAATTGATGGGATTTCTTTGTAAACGGGAATGAGATGCATGCAGGAGGTTAGGACCTCATTTGGCATCTCTTTTGTTTCATGTTTTTATTTTCATTTTTTCTTTGTGAAATTCACATATGTAGCACACAATTCTTGTGTATTTACATATCTCTCACAACTAAGCTTACATGTTTACATTTATAGCATTTTGGTGTTTTAAGCCTATGCATAAAAAAATGTGTTTTTCACTTTTAAAAGTGGTAATGATGCTATTTTTTGTGTGATAATTAAAGATTTGAGTGCTTTGTGTGTAAATATGAAAGTTTAGGTGTGAGATGTCTAAATGCATAAGAATTGTGTGCTATGTATGTAAATGCTCCTTTTTCTTTTATTTTTGAAAATATTTTTATTTGTTATAATTTTTATATGTTTTTTTTTTGTTTTAAAAAAAGAAATCTACATGTTTTTAAAAATAGTTAGAACAACTAGAAAATATTTTAAGTGTTTTTAGAAATAACTATTTCAACCAAACCTGATTTCATTCAAATCAAAGCACAAATTAAAAAAAGATAAAAGAAAAAAAATGTTAAACATAAAATTAAAGTGACCCCATGTGAGGATAACATGAGATAAAACTAAATGGCCATTTGAATGAGTTTGGGTTATGTTGATAGGGGTTTAAGTTCATTTTTTAGCTAGTTCTCAACCTAGATGTGGTCGATTCCTTTTCTATATATATTTTGCTATATTTCTTTTCAGTTCTGCATTGATTATTGTTAGAGTTTTATATACTTTTTATCACTTTGCATGTTGCCTTCCTGTGGATTTCAGGTGACACAGACCATGCAGATACCATTGTCATACGCGGAGGACATCATTGGTATTGGAGGGGGCAATATAGCATATATTCGCCGTACGAGTGGGGCGGTTCTTACTGTTCAGGAAACTAGAGGAATACCCGATGAAATTACCGTGGAAATCAAAGGCAGCGCCTCCCAAGTACAAATGGCACAACAGCTCATTCAGGTAAATGCACACATCTATTTATTCATAATCTTGGTTGAGAATATTTTTCTTGAAAAATTCTTAATCATGGTTTAAACTTTACTCAGGAATTTATTGCTGGACATAAAGACCCATTGCCGAGCAGCTATGGAAGCCTTGATACAGGCTTGAGATCATCTTATTCTCATCTCGGGAGGTCTGATTATTCATCTTCACTCTCGGCATCATCGCTCAGCGGATATGGAGCTTCAGGACTTGGCAGCTACGGGAGCTACAGGTTTTAGATTTTATGGATGGCTAGCTGATTACTTGACTGCTTATAATGTTACTTTATCCACTCGAATGATGCTCATTGGAATGTTCCTGTAAAAAAAATTCGGAAATGAGTGTTATATTTGACTGAAATCTGCTGAGAACTCCGTGGTTTTCATCATCTGAACCCTCTTCTAGATATGAATGTTCTTATTTCTAGGTGTATTATGTAATTTGGATGTCTTTGCCTTGAACATCTTTTTGATCAAGTGATTTCCTTATGGTACTTTTTTTGAGAATGAAGAGCATTAATTTGCAAAATGTGAGGCTCTGACACGTGATTTTGGAGAAAACCATTAGTGTGGTATCCCATGCGTTTTTGAACATAGCGACACTTAAATTTATGTGGTTTACTTGCACCTATGATTTTTATGCTCACTGTTCTTCGGTCACTGGCAATCTTATGTAGACATGAAGATTTTTAACCCATATATCATTTAATTTTCAGTTTATTTTCATCGGATGTTTTACATCAAGCAATAATATCTGCCCAAGCTTATTTTATTTCATTTAAATATTTTATTTCTGTTTGCACACGCCTGTGATGATGGTTTTCAGAAAGAAAGGTTTGTTTTATTTATTTATTTTTATTTTATCAAGTTGGTTTATATGATTTAATATGATTTTGGTTTGATTCTCCTGAGGTTTTTTTATTCTTTATTTTTTATAACTCTGAATATTTGAGGCTATGTTCAATAGTTTAATATTATGCTTCATAACATTCTAGATGGCGCCATATTCATTTAAATTAAAACTTAGGAAGATTGACATACATACACTCAATTCCTATGGATTTACATATCTAACATCTAAATTTCAACAACCATCTAAATTTCAACAACCACTAACATCTAAATTTCAACAACCACACGCCAGAAAACTTGGAAATCCTGGACTGAATTCCATCAATAAGCTTGAATTCTAAGCGGACAATAAGGGAAAGTTACATGCATTTACTTACATGTTGGCATGCTCGTCTTTTTGGCTTTGCGGAAACAATAGTAGTCTGCTTTTACTGTTTATGATGATCCTGCAGTAGATTACCGGATAGAAATTTTTTGGGTTTTTGTAGAGATAGTTTTGGATAAGTTGCTTGTGGAGGTATGGGTTTGGGTTTTCGGTGTGTCGGTGTGTATTAGCTGCAGGTTGCTTCAGTGTAAATTAAGGGACATTACATGCATGTCAAATTTTACATATGTATTCACATATCTAACACCTAAACGTTCATATTTTTTAAGTGTAAATTAATGGACATTTTACATACATGCGGCATATTACTTTTCACATATCTAACACCTAAACATTCATATTTACATGCATACCACTCAAATCTTTAACATCACATAAAAAAAATACCTCTATTGTTATTTGTTTTAGGAAGTGAAATATAACTTTTCTGCTTGCAACTATTTGTTTCAATTCAATTTCCTTTTATTTTCAGGTAATTTTTTTAGGTAACAATTTACAAATTTTATATGCAGTAGGTTAATATTTTGGAAGATTTACATAATTACCCTTCAATTCTTATTATTTACGTACTAAACACCTAAACTTTAATTTTATAATATTTGCCATTTTAACTGCATGAGAAGCTGCATTTCACTTTTTGAAAATTATAATATTGCTATTTTTTAGGTGATATGAATGATTTGGACGTTATAAATTTAAAAGTAAAAGTTTAGGTGATAGATATATAAATACATAGCAATTCGGTGGTATGTAAGTAAATGCGCTTAATATTTTGTCCAGTATTCTCTTACTGCAGTATCTTATCAGTAACAATGTAAGATGATCTCGGGCAGAATTCCTGCTTAATGTTAAATAAATTCTTCGAGCCCTGAGCATTTTATCTGCTGATGTTGTGTGTATTGATGCTTGCCCCACGTAAGTGCACAAGTGAAATGATTTGCCCTTATTCTAGTTTAGGGTTTTTTAAAAATATTTGAATTCAGAATGAATAATATACATGTTTGTTGCATAAACTAACTGAAAGTATTTGTTCAACTGCCATTTCCGTTTTCAAATAAAGATTGATTCATCTAGTCTTATCATTCCCATGATTTAAAAATCTTACGTCCGTGCCATCCCATCATGCAGTTTAATATAACATGATTTATTGTAATTTCAATTATAGGAAATGCTGTCTTTGTTTCTCAAACAAAGCTCGATAAATATACTGTAATAGATAGCGGGTCTTAATATCGATAAATATGTTTTAACCATCTTAAGGTTATAATTTAAAGCTTTATAAAAGATAAAAAAAAATATTATCATAAATTGGGAGTTGTCATTAATTTTTCATAATGTTATAAAGTATCTTATTTTATGATTAGTTTGATCGATAGGTCAATTGTCACAAACTTTGAATGTGACTTTTGGCCTGCTGTTTCTTTATTTTGGATGGTGGTGGCAGGGCCAAATTCTAGTCTTAGTTAGGGGTTAACGGTCAGAATTAATGATGGAAAAAATTAAGGAGCTGTTTGATTTGCTGCCAAAGGAGTGCTCTTTTTTATTTAGCGGGAGTTTAAAGAGTCTGGATGTTTGTCGGATGAATTTTAAATACAATGTAAAATGTATTTGGAGTTTGTTAGACGAGTGAAATTTATACATGTTTCTTTGTGTAAAGTGTCGCTCGTCATCATTGATCCTTGCTGGCATGCCTTCACCTGCTTTTCTATCGACTAACAAGGCATATCTTGCTAGTCGCTAAGGCTGTAATAGAGTCGAGTCATCTAATTATTGATGCACATGAATAGATTAAAGAGATTTTCATTATCCCCGTTTACTATCCAGTGGAATCATAGTCAAGGAACGGCTTGGCAGAATCAGCGGGGAAAGAAGATGTCATGCTTAAAATTTGGCTTGATTGAATTATAAGTTTTTGATTAAGTTTGAACTTGAGACGAATTTCAAAAAATATATTTATGCATGGTCTGTTTAAAACTTTTATTGTTATTAACAAATGGTTATCATTCTAAATACTTGTGAAATTGAACAGATTTTAAATTAGTATTCAAGTAGTTAATACTAAGTAAACAACATAATAAATAATAAATAAGGTATGTTTTTATTGTAATTAAATAATATAGATAAATATTAACAAATTAGTTCATTAAATCAAGGAAAAAAAAATTATTTGATGGATATGTATATTAATAATTGATATTAAATTATAATATGTTATTAGTAAATAATATTTTTATTAATTAAATTTTATTTAAATTATATCGTATAAGTATAGAGTATTTCATGAGTTACTTGTTGAGCAACAAACAAGTCTTTTCATAAAAATTAACAATTCAGATGGATTATGTTCAAATTTGATTCATTTGAATTCCAAATTTTTAAAAATATTAAATTTGTTTATTTACTAATTTGAGCAAACATACTTGAGTATTAATCATGCCCAATTAGAGTTGTTCATCAAAGGTGATGATTTATTTATAGCCCTATCAGTCACCGCGAGTTGAGAACTACTCACCATTGTCACTTGTAGCTGCAGCTCATCACCGCTGGCCTCTAGCGACTCATCGCTAACATGTACACCTATATGCACCCTCGATGCCGCCGCACATACGTGCTTAACATGGAATTTGTAAACCAAACAACTTTGATATTTTCCAATAAACAATACATTATTTTTACATTATATTATTTTAGACAGCATTAATTGGGAAGTTTACGCATCGTAGCACACATATTCTTATGTATTTACATGTCTAACATCTAAATTCTCATATTTACATACATAGCACTTTGACGTTTTAAATCTATGCATGAAAATATATATTTCAGTTTTACAAAAGAATAATAGTAGTATTTGTTATGTAATATTTAATATTTAAGTGTTGTGTGTAAATAAAAAATTTTGGGTGTGAGATATGTAAATACATAGAATTGTGCTATGTATGTAAATACCCCAAAATTTAAATACTATTTAGAAATTAATATTCTAGATGTTAGCCATCCCAAAAATTATTAAAATACATTTCCGAAGAAAATCATTTTTAATTGATACGAGTTTTCATCGTGAAATTAACTCGTAATCAATTTTATTGTATAACAAGCAAATTTATAGTTCAATGTTTGATGAACTGGAGAAAATATTAGGTCAGGATTCCGGATCATCCGGAGTCCAATAAGGAGGCACCACGTGTAAAGTGGACCCATCACAAATAATATTGGTCCACTATTACATCGTGATTGGTCCACTTTAGGACTCCAGATGCATCCAGAGTCCTGACTTAATATTTTCTCGATGAACTCGTATGTGTGCCGCTATGTGTCTTTTATTTATTTTTTAAAAATTCAGTGAAAAACTTGAGAAGAAAGGATTGAATTGTTTGATAAAAAAAAAACTGAATAAAGAAACAAGCAAATGACCCTTGAGAAGAAAGGAACATAAGCGATAGCAATGATATTAATGCATTTGTATAAACAAAATTAATTAAAACCAAATGAAATTAAATTGGAAGATTTATATACTTATCGCTCAATTCTTATGCATTTACATATCAAACTCCTAAATTTCAATATTTACATACAGGTCACCTTTTAAGGTGATATTTTTTATGGGATATGAAAGATTTAGATGGTATAAATATAAAACATAAGGTTTAGGTTTAAGATATATAAATGCTTAAGAATTGGGTGGTATGTATGTAAATCCTCCTTTTAAATAAATAATAAAAAAATGAAGACTTACATATATATATATACCGCTCAATTCTTATGTACTTACATTTTGTCATATAATTTTTTATTTTTACATACATACGACATTATTTATGTATCAAAATATGTATCTCATCTTTTAAAAGTTATGGTAATAATAATTTTTATGTGATATGAAAAATTTATGTGATAAAATGTAAAAAACAAAAGTTTAACTATTAGATATGTAAATATATGAAAATTGGGTGGTATGTATGTAAGTAGCTCTAGGAAAATTTGCAATGAGAAAATCAAGTAAGAAGATCTTTGAATAATCACACCTAAATTTGCCATTGTTTGATAAAAAAAAAAAACTGAATAAAGAAACAAGCAAATGACCAAGAGTGTTAAAACCATTAAAATAACAAAAAAAAAAAAAAAACATAGGAGATTAGGTGAAAATAATTTGAAAGTCATTGAGTTGGGCTTGTCTTGATCTTTTATAAGATTGTAGGTAGATTGACTAGCATTGAGTATATGTGTGCAAATGGAGAGTGCGTCTTAAGTT